CTGTACGTTTCTACACAGGTGTGTACTTGTGCACACCCTTGCATATACTCAGGAGTACCTGTGTGCACAGGTGGATGCACTTACCCGTAAAGCAGGGGTACACCCACAAATGTGCCCAAACACTCTCTTGACTACTTCTCTGTAGCCCTAGTGCATTCAAACACACAAATAATTGCATGTACACATTTCACACACCATACCCTCCAAAGAAGGGCACGCTTAGAAATGAATGGAGGGTGGAGAGAGAGAGACAGACAGACAGACAGATTAGCTGACTCTCCTGGATATCCTTAAGAGGCCCTTAGTGGCCCGAGTGACACATTCTACTCCCTCCTCATCCTCCCCCAATGTCTTCTCCCAAGATCTCTGGAGAAACTAGAATTCCTGAGAGTTCCTTCTTTCTGGATAGTCCCATTGGTCCCCCTGTATCTGGAGCCCAGGGAGATTCTAAGTCTTTTCCACCTCCCTTAGGGCACCTAAAAGAGAAGGTGACTCAGGGAGCAGGGGCATAGGTGGGTGGGTGACTCATTCAGAGTGTCTGGAGGGGGAATGTGGTCCAGTAAAAGAAGGGATTGCTTCTCAATCTCCAGACCTTACGGATGAGGCCCCCTGAGGTCCAAACCTGGGCCACAGGGCCCCTGGGATGGGGACAGTGATGAGGGTCAGTAAGCTCCGACCCCACCTCATGCCTTAAAGCAAACCTCAGAGCTTTCAGCTGAGGCCAAAGTAAGATCTTCATTGATTCAAGGGCAGTCCCCGTGTGCTTCTCTGCCTATGGGAGCAATTGGGTCTCTCCCAGAGCCCTGAAGGTCACTGCCAAGTGTTGTGGGGCAGCCACAGAGAGCTGAGAATCTCAGGGAAGGCCGTCCTTGATGGTTTGGCATCCAAACATACAAGAAATCAGGGCTGACTCGCAATCTCCCTGGGCAAAGGGGAGAGGAGAAGAGGGGGTGGTGGAGAGTAAGAGCTTGCATGTGCACGTGAGAGTGTGCACACCAGAGTGCAAGCTTGGTGGAACCAGCCCCCAGCACACACATAAACCAACTCTTGCTTCCTGCCTATTGTTCTAGTGTTGCCCAGAAGATCCAGGAAACTCTCCAGGGTACCAAGGGTCTTAATTTTGCCTTACTGCCCTCAATTTTGCCCTAACTCTGACAGTAACTGCAGGAGATAATCTCAAATTTAGGAGCCTGGTTATCCTGAAAGGTGAGCCAGAGGAGTCAACAGGGGCTTACATTCTTGGTCCTCTGTGTGCAAGGAGAAGAGGAGAGAGCTGGAACAGGCCAAGGGAGCAGGGATAAGCAGGTATATCAGGTGCATCCAAAGGAGGTAAAGGCAGGCACCATCACGTCTAGCATATGGATGTCAGTGCTCAGAGGAGGTGAGAGGACACAACAACACAGAAAAAAGAACCTGGGGACTTGAGGCTTGAGGATGTTGATGTGGGGTCTCAGGGAGTCAGGGCAGAAGTAGGCCTGGGGGCACCAGTCACACCCAGGAGGGAGGCCTGATCTGACCCTGAGTCTTGGCCTTGTCAGGCTCTGGGGCCTTCTCGGCCCACCCCCTGGCCTGGCCCAGCTCCCCACCAGCCTCACTTCACCCCGGTGCAGAGCTTTCTCCAGAGCCTGTGTTTGAAGTTCCAACTCAGCCAGCCCCACCCTAGCATGAAATCTGAGACTAGGGATCGAGCCCTCAGCCTCCTGCTGCCTCCTCCAAAAATCACTCCAAATCCATCCAGTGGTGAAACACATCAGATTGATTTCCTTCCCATTCTTCCGGGCCTTCCCTCTGCCATGAGGAACCCCCAAACCTTCCCAGCCTGCTGTGATCACTGGTTCTCTGCCACCACCACCACTAGGACTGCAGAGGGGCCGGAGGCTCCGGGAGTCTTTAAGTCCTTTCCCTCCAAGGTGGCACAGAATGCATCTTGGTTGGCGCGGTCGGTTACATCCGCATGTGTCTTGTACCCCTCCTGGACTGGAAGCTCTTTGAGGGCAGGGGCCATGGCTTACCCTCTTCTGTATCCCCCATAACATCAAACCCAGGGCCTGGCACATACTGTTAGCATTCCGTACATCTAGATCAGCTGAATGAATAAGTGTCCCAAGGACAGGGACAGGGAGACACTCCCTTTTCCTGAAAACCAAGCCCATTCCCTCAGAAAAAAATGGAGTGTGTGAGGCACAGAAAACAAACAGGCAAGAGAGCAAACACTTACTAAGCGCTTACTTTGCATTCATCTCTAGTAAGTGTTTTATATACGTTCTCATATTTAATCCTCACCACCAACTCTACAGAGAGACATATTATCAGTTCCATTTTACAGGTAAGAAAAGCAAAGTTCAGAGATGATAATTAACATTCCCCAGGCAGTAGAGCTAATGAGTTGTAGGTCTAGGATTGACAGCTTAGGTCTGCCTGCCTCCAAAGCCCAAGCTCCATCCGCTTAGCCTCGTGCCCACCCCAAGCCCAGGGAGAAAGATGATGGCTAACGTCTGCTTTATCCACAGCCCAGCGAGGGTGGAGAAGGGCTGAGAGATCTGGCTTTTCCTCCTCCCACTGGAAGAAGGGTCTCCCTATTTTGGAGCTGGCTGTGATCCATCCACCCAAAAGAGTGGGGGAGCCCAAGGTCAGGAACACAGTGACCCCACCCCTTAATGCCACATACAGGCATTCCTAGAACTCTAGGGACTGGGTCACTACCCCTGGCCCCGGCTATTTGGAGACAGGCTGAAATCAGAGGCAGGAAGTTGAGGAAAGGTTCTGATACCTTATGCCCTGTGTGTTCTCTTGTCCCAGGCAGCCTGTTCAGGGTCATCTGATTAGGCAAATGGCCTGAGTGCCTGGCCATCTGGTCACTCCAGGGGCAAGACCCCTCTGGGCCCAGTGGGAGGGAAAGGGTTATATTGGGTCTTCATGGACAAAGAACACACACACACACTCCGGGGGCCCTGAGCTCAGCTAATTGGCCTCCAATGTCTGTGGACTAAGAGAGCTGATACACAGTATTTGAATTCTCTGTTTTTCCCCTTTCCACTGCAACTTGGCCTTGGTAGGTACCTCTGGCGCATTAGGGCAGAGGTAACCCCCCTCCCTGGCTGGCTTCTCTAACTTTGACAGCTGTCTCCTCCGTGCCAGAAGAATGCTATTTGGTGAGGGTGGTGGGGGTGGGGAGAACCATGGGATACCCAGGGAGCATGACATCAGAGGATTCCTTGGAAAACTTTCTTGTTTCACTTGGACTGGGTGGGGGCCTCGGGAGACTCGCCCCTGGGAGACCCAGGCCTCCCGCACCCCGTGGCAGACAGATGTGCAGCCTGGGGGCAGCCCAGACAGGCTGGAAAACACCAACGTCCCGGAGCCCACGATGGGGGAGAAGGGAAAAGTCAGGCGCGGGCACGCGCGCGCGCGAACACACACACACACACACACACACACACACACACACACACACACACACACACACACGGGAGTCTGGCCAGAAAAGTTTCCTGCAGGAGGAAAAGCCTGGACCCAAGGAACCTTCCCCAGGAACCCTCTCGGAAGAGAAGGCAGTGGCAGCAGCTTCCACGAATAGCAGCGAAACTTCAGTCCTAAAGTCCCCCAAACTCCCCCCTCCCTCCCTCCCTCTTTCTTTTGTTCCCCACTGCATTGCCAACCAGGCAGCTCCCGGCTTCCCACACTGGACCGTCCTCCCCCAGGCGCGAACCCTAAGCGGCCCGCGCCTCCCCGCGGCGCCCGCGCGCGCCCCGGCCCCTGCGCCCCGGCCCCCGCGCCCCGGCCGGCCCGCGGGGGGGGGGGCGCCTACCCGCCTTGCAGGGGTCTTTGTAGTTGACGGGCTCCGAGTCGTCCTCCTCCCCCAGGTCATAGGTGTAGTCGGCCAAGTCGAGCGGCCGGCCGGGGCGCGGGAGCAGCAGCAGCCAGAGCAGCAGCCAGAGCAGCAGCGGCAGCGGCAGCGGCAGGCGGGCCACGCCGGGCATGCTGGAGGGCGCGGCGGCGGCGGGCGCGGTGGCGGCGGCGGGTCGCGCCCGGACGCGGGAGCCGGCGAGAGGGGAAGCGGAGGACTGGCGGCGAGGGGAGGGCGCTCCCCTGCGCTCGCCCGCGCGCTCCCTCCCCGCCTGCCCCCCCGCGCGCGTCCCTACCTCTCCCCCTCCCCGGTCCTCGCCCCCCCTTCCTGTCTCCCGCCCCCTCTCCGGCCCGGCTCCCCGGCCCTCTCTGCCCGCGCCTCCAGCCTTCTCCGCTCCCTTCCCGTCTTTTCCTCTTTCCTTCTCTCCTCCCTCCCGCTCCCCCCCCTTTTTAGGGAAATGAGCTCGCTGGAGGGCGGGTTTTCGCCCGGAGCTCGGCCCCCTCGGGTCCGGGACGGCGCACGGCCGGGCCGGGCGGCGCGCCAGCCGGGGGCGGGGACGGCGCGGACGGCGGGGAGGGGGCGCGGGCGCTCCCGGGGCGCGGGCCGCGGGCCGCGGGGCCGGGGAGGGGGCGCGGGGCCCCGGGGTGCCGGGCCGACGGCCGCTCCCGCGGGGCGCCCTCTAGCGGCGGCCTGTGCGCGGGCGCCGGGCCGGCCCCCTCCCGGCGGCGGGACGCGCTGTGGGGTCGCCGCGCCGCTGCCGCCCGCCGCGGCCCCTGGCCCTCGGCCCGCGCGTCTCCGCCCGCGTCTCTCGGTCTCTGCCCTCGCCGTCCTCGGCTCTCTCGCTCTCTGGCGGTCTCTGGCTGTCTCTGTCTCTCCTCCTCCCTCGGGAGACACCACTGGAGGGCGCCTCAAGCCCGTGGATTGCCCGGTGCCCTGGCCGCGGCCCCGGGTCCCCCAGCCAGCCTGGGCGGAGGGGGAGGGGGAAGCCCCCGCGCGCCCCCACCCCGGGCCCCACCTCCCGCGCCGGCCCCACCGAGGGCGGGACCGAGGGCGAGGGCTTGGAGGATGGAAGAGCCGCACCCTTTATTTTTCAATCAGGTGGCTTTATTCTCTCGTGGTCGGAGCCCCGTGTGCCCAGGAGCCGCAGCTCCTGCCCGCTCCCACCTCTCCCCACAGCTCCCATTTCGCCAGCGCTGGTCCCTGTGCTGTGGGCAGGAGCAGCTTCCTGCGTCTCTGCAAAAGACCCTTTGAGCGCGGGTCTTCCCTCCTCAGCTGGGGCTTCCGTGGGTCCTGAGGAGCAAAGACACACAGTTTATCAGGTGAGGGGGAGGGGCTGCGGGACAGGGAAGTCTATGACCCTTCCCTCCCCAGAGCTCCCTAGATGATCTGGCTTAGTGGGTTCCCCAGTTCCCGGTCAGTCAGCTGACATGGCTGGCGAGGTGGGGCAGTCCTGCCCGGGCCACTGCTGCTCGGTGCCGGAGGTCACACCTGCTCACCTGACGGGTCCTAGATGTAGAAGAGGGGCACCTCACCACACAGGGTGCTCACTGTGGTGCCCAGGAAGTCCAGGGGATCCCCAGGGGATGCTGGGCCAGCATCATGGCCCTCCTCCTGTCCCAGCTTAGAGGTAGACACCGCTGACTTGACCTAGAAAGAGCACCTGATTTGGAGCCTGGGAACGGAGTTTCTGTCTCACCTGTGGTCCTTACCGTGGGACCTTGGGCGTGTCAGGCCATCTCTCTGGGCCTTATAAAAGCCTTGCTTTCTTCACCAGTAAAGAGGGGCTGTGCTGGAGTCAGAAGCCCCCAGGTGGTGAGGTTCAGCTGAGGCCAGCAGGTTGGCACAGGTAGGGAAGGGGTGGTACAGGTGAGTCTAGAGAGGGCACTCACCTGGCAGCCCACAGGGAGCAGGTGGCAGGTGACAGGTGACAAATTGCTGTCCTCCTCAGATGCTCCTCCCAGCAGCCCTGGGAAGGGGACGACCCACCTCTTCTCACTCACACACCTACCTGGAAGTCCTGAAACTTTCTAGCGAGAGCCTCAAGACTTGGGATGTTCTCTGGAGCCATCTTCATGATGTAGCAACAGGTTCCCGGGGCTGGCTTATAGGCAATCAGGAGCTGAGTACACGAACCCCAGAGTTCATTCAGGAAGGACCCGCCTTGCTCACTCCCTAACCCTGAGCCTGGGCCATCTTCCTCTGGGCTAGGCACCCGGGAGAGTCATATTGGAATCTGGGGCTCAGCCTGGGGAGGCAAAGGGACTAGGAGCCGGGGAGAGATGGGTGTGCATGAAGTGACACAGCTCGGTGGGTCCAGCAAAGGCTTGTCATTGGCCCCCATCCCCAGGGTTGAGAGGTCCAGGTGTACCCACCCGCTGGTAGTCGTACACTACGATGCCAGTGGAGCCAATGGAGAAGGTGGCAGTGGTGCCCACACGCTCCTGCAGGGCCAGGCGCTGCTGGGCTTCTGGCCCCCCAATGCTCATCTCTAGGACCTGGGGGAAGTCATAGGGTGGTGGCCTGGTATTTCTCTTTCCCCACACATCCCTTCGGTGCCTACCTACACCCTCAGCCCTCTTTACTAAAATGCAATCCTGTCTTCCCTGAGAGCTCAGGCAGGCTGGATGGGACAGGATGCTGGAAGGAACAGGTGGCCATGCCAGCCACAAGCCTGGTGGAAAAGCCCAAGCCCCGGTTGCTACCTGGTTCCTGCTTCTGTCCTTTCTCAAGGGACCCCCTGCCTCCTCCTCTCCATTCCCATCAAACTCTTCCCTATCTGCCAAGCCCACCCCAAGCCCCTCTGTTTCACAGGTTCTGTACCCACAGCCCACTCCATTCTAGGCCTGCTCACCATCTCAGTGTGTTTCTGGCTCATGTGAAGACCCATTAGCAGAGCGCCGACAATCACCACGACCACAAGGACTATCACTACTACGATGATGAGAAGGCGTTTGAGGGACGAAGGGAAGCAGGGGATGCCGAACCGGCCCCGGGGAGCTGCTGAGTAGTCCTGACGTGGTGGGGCAGGCAGGGAAACAGGTATGAGGTCATGAGGATGGTCCCTCCTCTTCCCGCACAAGCTGGGCACCCTCCCACACCTGGACACCAATGCTATGGATGTGCAGAGGAGGGCTGAGAACAGAGAAGGCTTCTTGGAGGAGGTGGCCTGGATTCCACCAGAAATGCTTAGACGTGCAGTCTAGCGTGGAGAGACCCAAGGGAGCCTGCCTCACCAGACTCGTCTCTTGCTGTTTCCTCTGGACCCCTGGCACCCCAGCCATTCCCATCCCTCTCTATTCCCCCAAATAATCTGTGCTCTCTCACACCTCCCTGCCTTTACACACGCTACCCCTTCTTCCTGCCAATGCTTGCCTCCACCTAGTGAGCTCCTTCCTACCTATTCTTCTGGAGCCAGCTCAAATGTCATTTTCTCTGTGAAGCTTCCTGTGACTTCCCACATCGCGGCTGCTTACTCGGTGCTCTCTGCAGCCCTTTGCACTGACCACTGTGGTGCCTCTCGGCCCCTCATGTTGGAATGATTGGTTGCCATGTCCATCTCCCCAAGGGACTTAGTGGTTGGTGTCCCTGCCCTAACTTAGCACAGTCCTAGGTTAATTAAGTAGATGAAGTTGGATGAAGAAACAGGCTGAGGGGGGTTGGATGAGGCAAAGCCCAGCTCACCGACATGTACACACACACACAGTCATACTCACCGGGGGGCTCTCGATCAAGACCTCCTTGCTGCCCACATCCATCTTGCTGCAGGCGCCTTCCCCTCTCATCTCCCAAATGGGACCTAGGATCTTATATACGCCGGTAGGGAGAGGGGACAGAAGTGAAGGACCCAGTCTCCTTCTGCCAGCCAAGCCCTTGACTTTGAAACCTGTTTGTTCCTGGCCCTCCAGAACTGAAGTCCTGATAAGCCAGCTCAAGAGCGCCTGAGGACCCTCGGCCCTGGCACATGAGTCCTCTTGGCCTCGGTGAGAGCAAAGCTGGGTGCACTGAGCAAATTTGCCCTTGGGCAATCTGCACCTCTCTCCGTAGGTGTCTTCCTGGCATTGGCCGCTTTTCTTGCTGGCACCTGCCCCTGCAGTTTTGTGGCTTTCCCTGTTCTTCTGCCAGGTTGAACCTCTCAGGCAGCCGGGGGTCTGACCCAATGCGGAGTCCAGCACACTTCCCAACAGAATTTTCCCTGTGTCTAGGGATGAGCTCCAGGGAGGGGAGTGAGGAGGCAGTGCCTGCAAGCCCAGGGGGCACAGCTGAAGGCAGGTGGTGCTTTGGCATCAGTGTGGGGGTTCATCATGGCCATTTCTTGAAGAGCCTCACATTTTCACTTCCAGTATGCCACCTGCCTGGCCTCCTCCCACACATTTGCTACCTAACCTCAGACTTGCCTCAGTCATTCTTTTCCTGATCCTGAAGACTCTGTCCCCTCTGGCTATAAGTTTTTATCTACCAATATGTGGTTTTTCATTCTCTGCTATGGGCTGGTTTGTAAGCTAAAGACCTTTCCCCCTGTTTTACTTTTATTTGCATCCATTTCATGCTGAATTTATTCCCAGGCCATACATTGCTGTTTCTCCAGCTTCTTGTGGGATATCTTTCTCATCTATGCAACCTCCTCTTCTGGTTTGGGAACGATCTGCTCTGTTTCAGTAAGGATCATCTCGATGTGGCAAGGAGGGCTTATGCAGGGGTTAATCTGATCACAAGCTCTGTAAATTTAGTGGCTCATTTGGGGGCTTTGTTCACCTGAATGTGCCAGATGACCAGGGAATCTACATCTAAACCCTTAGGTTTAGCATTACTCTACATCTTTAAGCCCATGCAGCAAAAATTCAGCACTCTTTATAGGCCACTGACACCATGCCCTGCCTACTGTTTGGCCTGGGCTCACTTATCGGCCCCACCATGATGATGATGGAATGGCACACATTGCTTCTGTAAAGGGACATCCTTCAGATACTTGATGGCTTTGGAGATAGACATAGCCTTGGTGACCTGGGCAGCTTCATGAGTGTTCTTAAAATGAATATGAAGATTTCAACTTCTGGATTTGAATGATTCTGTGGGGTTTTCTGCATCAAGTAAATGGTGAACCATTTTCAGAGATCAAGCTGAAGGCTTTTGATAGCAGATTCCACACCTGACACTTCTTTCTTATGCCCAAACAGCCTTGCATGGGGCTGGGTATGGTGACCCACAGGTCCCAATCTCCTCATTCTTGAATCTCACCTGCTTGGTGCTGCCTCTGACCCTGTTCCTCTGTGTTCCTCTTTTTATAGCCTTTGATCCTAAATTTGCCCTAAGATGCTACTCACCCCAATGTAATCCACTTTCTGGACCTTCTACTTCTCCCTTCCATCTCTTAACCTCCTTCCTCAAAGCCACTTCTATTTCTTTGTTATCCTAAGCCAAATCCACGAGTGGGTGCAGCCTTTCTCTTGGGCTTTCCTCCACTCGCCGGGTCAAGCGGTATCTACAGTGCCTTTACCTTGGAACTTTCACAGGTGTCTAAGTCAGATACCTACCCTTACTCCTCTCGGCCCAACTCCCTTATCTTCCTGCTACTTTACCTCCCAACACTCCACCCCAGGTTCTGTCCCTGGCCTGGGGGCTCCCTCACACCTTGGCCCTGTCCTGAGGTCATGAGCTGGTCCCCAGCTCTCCAGCCTTAGCCGGTTTCCCTGCCCCCACAGGGACCTCCTCTACACCAGGAGAGCCTTCAGTCTCCGGGTTGCACAACAGCATGGCATCTGAGCTAAGAGTGCCTGAAAAGCTCAGGGAAGGGGACAGGGGAGGGAAGGGAGTGTTTGCTCCCACCATCCTCCTCACCCTCCTCCCCAGCTGCCCCTTTAAATATTTGCCGAAACCTCTAGCAGCAAGTGTCCTAGGAGGAGTGTTGGGGAAGGGTGTCCAGGGAGGAGGGGGAAACGTCCTCCTCTCAACTGTGCAGTCTCAGCTGTGTGCAGGTGCCAGATGTAGGAGACAGCTGCCTGTGGTGCCCACCCCTGCCTGCCCCGAGCGCCCCCACTCCCGCCCCAGATTGTCCTGGCAACGCTGGGATTGATTGGCTGACTCACACGCACTGGGCCTGAGCCAGGTGGGCAGCGGGCCAGTGGGAGAGCCCAGGAGGGCTGCAAGCATCTCGGGGTCCCTGCGGGCATCTCAGGGGGCCGCATGGTCCAGCTGTGGAGCTTGTTCTAAGCAGGCGCTGTGTGTAGGGTTTGCCATCATCAGCTGGTGCTGAGAAAGGAGTCTCTCTTGGAAAGAAGCCTCTGCTCTCTCAGGTCCTCAGTCTCCCTGGCAGGCTGCTCTTAGGCTGTAATTCTCACAAACTTTATGGTTTTTCTTTTCTTTTTTATCTGCTTGTTTTTGCCTGTTTGGAGGTTGGGGTAAGAAGGTTGCCCTCAAGTTTCATAAGGGGAGTTCAGATGCTAGCATCAACCTCTCTGGCACTGACCCAGTGGAGGTCTTGGGGTCCTCATCTTTGTTCTCACGAAGCAATGTGGGACCTGTAACTGGGCATGGATAGCTGTCACCTCGCTACCCCCATCAGCCCTCTGTTGCAAACTTCTCACATCTTGGCCTTTACTTAGGCCATTTCTCCCTCCTGGAAATCCTACCCTCAATGCCTCTCCACCCTCAATGCCTCTCCACCTCTCTGAGTGCCACCAACCCTAAAAGGTCAGACAAGAGCCAATGGCACCTGCTCTGTGACCTCACAGGCCCAGGCTACGGTGCCTCTTCCCTCCTCCAAAATCTCCCAGCCTCCTGCTACCCTTTCACTTGCCACTTAGCATGCACTGCTGTTCTCATCAGCTGTGAGGGTGCTTTTTGTTGCCCTGTCTTCCCTGGGACTGGCCCCAAGACCATGGTTTCCTGAGGCTTCTTTGTACCTGCTGTGGGGCAAGGAGCATGCACACAGCTAACATGTAATTCTATTCAGTGCTGAGACTGTCACCAAACATGCAGGAGCTCCTGGAGAGTGGTCAATGTTCATTCCATCAGTGTGTGGAGGTCTTAATGCTTGACCGACCAGCTCTGGGACCCCGAATGAATCTATCTTTCTGCCTTTCCAGGCTTTAGTGTGTTCAGCTGTTAAATGGTACTAGTCTGCCTATCCTGTCCCCCCTCAGACAAGCTGTTGTGATGATTCAATGACATCAATCCAGTTGACATGATTATCATCTACTTTGTCTCCCAAATACCTCTTCTCACTAGCTGAGAATAGGACCCAGACTTCCCCTTTCTGTCTCTGGGAGGACCATGGGTGATGGAGAACCCTACGGTAGCCACCCCTTCTATGTGTACCTCCTCTTTTTCTCCTTCCAGCTCTTCAGCTGCAGTGGCTGGGACAAGATTCACTCTGCCCTTTGTGTGCTGGGCAGAGCTGTGCCAGGGACGGGTGGGGACGGTTGCCCAGCTGCCCTAGCGGCCCTCCCCACCCCCCATTGCTTTTCTTTCCACAAGCTGGCATGCAGAGGGCTGCACGGGCAGCTGGATGGGCAGTGACAAGTGAGGATCAAATGGAAAGGGCATCCCTGGCTGAGACAACATGGACAGACGTAAGCTCCAACTAGAGAAGCCTCTGCTGGCAGAGGCTGGGGACAGCTGGGGACACATCCTAAACCCAGCAATCTGTTTCCTGGCCTGATATGGAAAGAGCACTAGACTGGGAGTCCATTCACCTGACTCCCAGCCTCCTCTAGTCCTGTCCCAGAGAACCTTTGGCACAGTCAGTCCCACACACAGACCCCCAGGGAGGTAACATGGCATAGAGCAGCAGTTTTCAAACATTTTGGTTTCAGGACTCCTTTATATTCTTAAAAAATATTTAGGACCCCAAAGAGCATTTGTTTATGTGTGTTATATCTATTGATATTTACCATATTAATATTTACTGAGAAATTTCAAAGTTTCAATTAATTAATGAAAATTGTAGCAATAAACCTATTCTATTTTTAACATAAAAACATAAAAATTATTTTACAAAGTAAAAAAATTAGAGATAAGAGTGTCATTGCTTTACATTTTTGCAAATCTCTTTATTTTTTAAAGTATTTATTTACTTAGAAAGAGAGAGAGCCAACATGTGCACAGAGGAGGGGCAGATGGAGAGGGAGAGAATCCTGAACCCGACTCCCTGTTGAGTGCTAAACCCCACACAGGGCTCAATCCCAGGACCCTGAGATTAAGACCTGAGCTGAAATCAAGAGTTAGCTGCTTAACTGACTGAACCACCCAGGCACCCCTTGCAACCCTCTTAATTTCTGGCTTAACAGAAGATGCATCATGTTGCCTCTGGGAAATTCCAGGGTACTTTGTTTGTTTTAAAGATTTTATTTATCCATTCATGAGACATATATAGAGAGAAGCAGAGACACAGGTAGAGGGAGAAGCAGGCTCCCTGCAAAGAGCCTAATGTGGGACTCCATCCCAGGACCCCAGGATCATGACCTGAGCCAAAGGCAGATGCTCAACCACTGAGCCTCCCAGGTGCCCCCCCCAGGGTACTTTTGTGATGGCGTGAAAGTGAAAAAGTAAAATTATATTTTAACATTCTTAGGACAAGGGGAAGCCCGGGTGGCTCAGCGGTTTAGCACTGCCTTCGGCCCAGGGCGTGATCCTGGGGCCCCTGGAATCCCACGTCAGGCTCCCTGCATGGAGCCTGCTTCTCCCTCTGCCTGTGTCTCTGCCTCTTTCTCTCTCTGTGTGTGTCTCTTATGAAAGAAAGAAAGAAGAAAAGAAAGAAAGAAAGAAAGAAAGAAAGAAAGAAAGAAAGAAAGAAAGAAAGAAAGAAAAAATAAATAAATCTTCTTAAAAAAATTCCTAGGACAATTGTTTTGACCTCAGTGATCCCTGGAAGGTTCTCCTGGACTCCACTTTTATTTTATTTTATTTTATTTTAAAGATTCTATTTATTTATTCATGAGAGACACACACACAGAGAGGCAGAGATACAGGCAGAGGGAGAAGCAGGCTCCCTGCAGGGAGCCCCATGTGGGACTTGATCCCAGGACCCCACCATCATAACCTGAGCCAAAGGCAGACACTCCACCATTGAGCCACCCACGCGTCCCTGGACCACACTTTGAAAATCCCTGGTATAGAAGTAGGACGGTGAACTTTGGCAGAGCGGGTTGAGATCCCTGTTCTGTGGCTTTCTTCGGGCGCTACCAGTCTCACATCTCTTCTCTGTAAAAGGGGATTCATATCATCCACTTAAAAAGGTTGGCAGCATTAAGTGCATAGAGTACACAACACACAGTAGATGTGACCTCAAGCTCGCGACTGCTTTCCTCCTGGTTTGGGCCTGTTTCCTCATTTGGGACAAAGAGCTGGACCAGGAAACATCCAGGGCTCTACGAAGGTTCAACAGTTTACGGTTGGGTAGGGGGAGATGTTCCAGAATTCCACACACTCCAACTCGGTGACAACATTCCCCTTTTCAGCTCAGAGAGAAACAAAGGCACATTCTGTTCACGGGCTTGTGGAAACACATGTGAACACAGCTACGAACGCATGTCGCTGACGGCACACCCATGAACTCTTCTTGTTCAGAGGACGTGTCCCCTGAGGGCCACGACAGATACACGGGCGCACAGAGGCCCGCGGATCCACAGCGCGGAAATGCGTCCTGGGGGAGCGCGTGCCCCCGATGCGCACAGGTGCACAGTCATGCGGTCATGGGGTGCACACGTACGCCTCGCACACCTGCACTCGCGACAGTCTCACTGCGTGCCACTGCGTGCCAGCCCGCCAGGCAGACGGCCCCAGGGGCCGCCCCTAGGGCCGCCGGCGCCGAGGGCCGCCCCCACCCCTTTCCGGGGACTCCCCACCCCTCCGCCCTGCGCGCGCCCCCGCCGCTCAGCCCTCGCTCGGCTCCGGGCCCGCGCAGCTCTACCCCGGCGGCTGGCGAGCGCGAGCAGGGGAGGGGCCCGAGCCGCCCCGGCCCGAGGACTCCGCTGTGCGCGGCGGGCGGCGGGCGGCGGGCGGCGGGCGGCGGGCGGCGGGGCCCCTGGCTGCGGCAGCGGCGGCGGGCGGCGGCGGGCGGCGGCGGGGAGGCGCAGCCGGCGCGGGGTGGCCGAGAGCCGCGGGGCGGGGGCCGCGGCCGGTGGCCCGGGGCAGAGCTTGCAGGCAGCATGGCGGGGCTGCGCGCCGGCCGGGGCTCCGGGCTCGGGCTCGGGCTCGGGCTGCTGGCGCTGTCCGCGCTCGGCTGCTGTCTGATGCTGCCAGTCGGAGCCAAGAGGCCCCCCAAGACGCCCCCCTGCCCGCCCAGCTGCTCCTGCACCAGGGACACCGCCTTCTGCGTGGACTCTAAGGCAGTGCCCAGGAACCTGCCCTCCGAGGTCATCTCTCTGTGAGTGTCCTGCCCCGGCTGGGGAGGTGGGGGAGCCCAGGGAGGCAGCCAGGCTGCAGCCGCTCCGAGAGCCCCTGGGGAAAACCCTTGCTCCCCCTCCACAAAGTGCGGGGAGCGGGAGGACTTTGGGGGGTCCTCGGGGACTGGAGAGTCAAGGCATCAGCCAGGTGGAGAGTTCTGTAGTCATGCAGTCTCAGCAGCCATGGCCGGGGAAAGCAGGAGTTTATGGCCAAGAATGAATCATCACCACCGCGGGCAACAATGAGACCTACTGTGTGCAGGGCTCTGGGCGCGGGGGGGGGGGGGGGGAGGGGTTGTTTACAAGGGCATGTGGGCCCCTGCCTGTGATGTCACGCCAAGGGCAGAAAGGCTTTTTGTGGGGGGAGGGAGGGTGGAAGCAGGGGGAGGGGTGGAAGTGAGATACACCCACAGGGAGCCCTGGCACGGGACAGCCGCCTGGGCTTCCATTCGCTCTGCGCTGGGCCAGCCAGCCTGTCACTTGCAGTCAGTGGCCTCAGGGACTAGGTGGGGTGTGTGGTCCTTGAGAGCAGGATGCTAACCTTCTGGGGTGAGCATCCCCGGTGCCCCATCCCTCAACAGCACCCAGCACACTGAGTGTTTGGATGATCTTGAGGGTGTGGGTAATGGAAGCTTCTTTTGGCTGAAGGGGAAGCTCAGCCTGGGGCCACTGGTGTTCAGAGAGGCAGGAGGTGAGCACAGTGATGAAGAAGGCGATGAGTTTATGAAGGGAAGAGAAAGATAGCCCCAGGTAGGGAGCCCAGGCTGGTGAATTGGGAAGTTTCCAGGCCAAGTGTGCATAGAACCATCGCCCTGTTCACCTTGTGTGCCCCCTCCCCCAGTCCCTGCATAGTCCCCACTGTACTGACTCCAGTGTCCCCTGCAGGACGCTGGTGAATGCTGCCTTCTCTGAGATCCAGGATGGAGCGTTTTCCCACCTGCCACTGCTGCAGTTCCTGTAAGGACAGGGCCTTGGGAAGGGTGGGTAGGGGGTAGGGCAGCAGAAGGGCACGGACAACCCTCCTACCTCCATCCCCCTTCCCTCAGACTGGGGAGAGAAGAGCAGATAGAGCAGATGCAGGTAGCCACTGTGGATTAATGGATTAATGTACAGGTGTCCCTTTTCTTCCCTGGATGGGATAGCCACCAAATGTGGATCCGCCTAGAGTCAGGAAAGGTACAGGGAGTGGCAGTGGGGAGAAGGAAGGTGGGGGGTTGCATGCAAAAGCCAAGAGTGGGTATTTGGGGCCCAATTAGGAATGGACTTACTTCCTCTGGAGTGCAGTAGCTTGGGCTGGTGCCAGAGGGTAGACACTGCAGGGGAGAGGGGTCATCTCAGAGACACGTGACCCCAGGGAGCAGGGTTTGAAGAAAGAGCTGGGGGTTGACAGGAAGGGGCGTGTAAGGGTGTGGAATTTTAACAGAGCTGCTTCTGCTTGAGGCCCCAGTCGCAAGAGAGAGTACCTGTGAGTTACTCCAACTCCTTTTCACTGCAAGTTATCCTAAAACCCACTACCAGGCTGAGAGGGACTGAATGAGCTGGGGTGAGGGTGGGGGACAGAACAGAAGTGGAGACAGAGACAGAGAGACACACGGTGGGGAAGGACCCAGCTTGATAGGAGCGATCTGCCCCAGGACAGGCTATTGGGTGGTCTTGCTGCAGTGCTGCTCTGGGGTGGGGGTGGGGGCCAGGTGGGACTCTGTGGGGCAGCATGGCCTTGGAACTGTGAGGAAGCGCCAGGGGGAGGCAGCAGGCTGGGAGCTGGTGTGATGGTCACACCCTTGGAAGCTCTAACTCCCCCTCTGTCTCTCCAGGTTACTCAACTCCAACAAGTTTACTCTGATTGGAGACAACGCTTTCACAGGACTGTCACACCTCCAGTACCTGTGTGTGGCAAGGAGCCGGGCAATGGCAGCTAGGAGGGGGGAGGGAGCCCCAGGCCTGGGTGGGGTGGGCTGAGAGGGCAGGTTGAAGGAGGAAGGCTGCGGGGAGTGGGGAAGGAGAGCCTTTGAATCCTCTGACTGCAGGACCCAAGCTGAGGGTCATTGCATCCATCCCTCCGCCTAAACCGCCCTACCTGAATGCCCTGTCACCACAGGCTTCATGTCACCAGAATCAGAATGGAAGCCTGTCTCAGGACCATGGGCAGGAATCTAGGTGGGACAGAAGGAAATAGCTGGTTGGGGGTCTGAGATCCTAAGTGGCATCTAAGATGAGTTCTCATTTTCTCCAGCTTCATTGAGAATAATGACATCTGGGCACTCTCCAAGTTCACCTTCAGAGGACTCAAGTCTTTGACACACCTGTGAGTACATCATGTCCATACACACATTGGACCAAAGTCCCATCTCTCCTGTGGCCTTTGGCCTCAGTCACAATCTTCAGGTGACCCAGGGGTCTCTCTTGCAGATCACTGGCCAACAATAACCTGCAGACACTGCCTAGAGACATCTTTCGGCCCCTGGACATCCTGAGTGACTTGTAAGGCTGAGCCCTACATCTTTTGACAATGCCACAGAAGGGCGTGTCGCTGGAGGGAGTGGTGTGGGAGTCAGAATTGGGAAGATCATAAGGTCTTGAGAGGCTGGGAGTGCTTGGGTTTGGGGATGCCTTTTAGAAGGCTAAGTAGCTACACAACACACGTGTGTGTGTGTGTGTGTGTGTGTGTGTGTGTTTATAAAAGACATATATGTATGTCTTTTAAATATGTGCTTTTTAAATGTATGTTTGATTTGAACATACATTAAATACATTAAAGTCCTATAGCATGGCCACAACCATTAATCAGTATTCACACAAGAAAACCCAAACAACCCAGGATTGTAGAAGGTTTGAGGAATTGAGATGCCAGTAGGGTCTGAGACTGGGCCCCTACTCTGCTAGCCAAGCATGTGTGCATGGGAGTGTGTCTAGCCCCAGGGGATCTTTTCCCTAACCTTTGCAATGAGCAGCAGCCTTGAGTGTATCTACTTCCAAAAACCTAGAGAGCCTGGGTGGGCAGAGCAGCTGGGAGCCTGCTCCTCTCTCTGTTCCCTCCGTCACCCTCATGATCCAGGGACCTGCGGGGCAACTCGCTCAACTGTGACTGCAAGGTAAAGTGGCTGGTGGAGTGGCTGGCACACACCAACACCACTGTGGCCCCCATCTATTGCGCCAGCCCTCCTCGCTTCCAAGAGCACAAGGTGCAGGACCTGCCACTGCGGGAATTCGACTGCATCACCACGGGTAGGATGTGCTCCCGGCAGCCCTCCCCAGAGCAGCCCAACAGATGCTGCTGGAAGCACCCCCAATCCCCAGGCCAGCCACCCATTCCCCCAACAAGCTCTTACTTACCCTTCTTCTCCCCACCCCTCACCTCTTATCCCTGCAGATTTCGTGCTGTACCAGACCCTGCCTTTCCCAGCAGTGTCAGCCGAGCCCTTCCTTTACTCCAGCGACCTCTATTTGGCTCTGGCCCAGCCAGGTGCCAGTGCTTGCACTGTCCTCAAGTGGGACTATGTTGAACGGCAGCTTCGAGATTATGATAGAATCCCAGGTACCTACCCCCAGCCTGGCTGTGGTGGCTCCGATTTAAGGGGGCAGGGAGGTGCTGGGCTCCATCATTCCTCTCCATTGAATTCCTGTAGGTAGAGGCATAGAGACATGATCTCTGCCCATAATAACTTCCCAGTCTTTGGGGAGAGGCCAATACATACACATTTAACATCCATATAATAGGTGGGTATGAGGAGAGAGATATGAATACGATGCTCTGAGATCACAAAGGAGAGGCCTACCTTTGAGGTCAATCAAGGAATGCTTCCTGGTAGAGGGGATGCCTGAGCTGAGTCTTGAACAATGAGGGAGAGTCAGAGGTGATGCCTAAATGCCTGGCTTAAGTAACTGGGTGGTGCCAGTGAACCAAGGAGGAGATAGGAGTGGCTAGTGAGTTCAGCTTGAGATCCACTGAATTTGAGCTGAGTCTAGAAGGCGGTGTTCAGAGAAAAAATGTGGGAAGGATATTCTGGCAAAGAGAACAGCATGAGCAAATTCAAGAAGGTGTGCAAAAGCTTAGTACATGAGTACGTGTCTGTGAAAAAATTATAAGCAGCTCATATGACTATAGCATAAGGTTCAAGGTGGAGAGAAGCAGATGAGACCCAAGAGACAGGTCATGCACAGGTTTTGAGCAGAGTGTGTGAACCAAACCAAGGTGTATTTTAGAACACTATCTATGCTGTATGGAGAGTGGCTTAGCACTGGGTAAGACATGCAGACACACCATCACGGGAACATGCTGGAGTCTGGGCTGGGGCAATAGCACTGGGGATGGAAAGAGATATTTAGAATGGAGGAGTGAACTGACACAAGAGGAAACAGAAAATTTAAATGATCTCTGAAAGGACTCAAAGTCCTTATAAAAAAGAAACCTGGGCAGCCCCGGTGGCTCAGCGGTTTAGTGCCGCCTTCAGCCTAGGCCATGATTCTGGAGAACTGGGATTGAGTCCCACATCGGGCTCCCTGCATGGAGCCTGTTTCTCCTTCTGCCTGTGTCTCTGCCTCTCTCTCTCTCTCTCTCTCTGTGTCTCTCACGAATAAATAAATAAAATTTATTAAAAAAAAAAAAGAAAGAAAGAAACCCTTCACCCAAAAGAAGACTCCAGGGCCAGATGGTCTCCCTGGTAAATTCTAGAAAACATTTACAGAAGAAATAACAGCTATCCCCCACACACTGTCTTAGAAAGCAGAGGGGAGGGTTGACAGGACTCGAGGCCGACCAGCTGTGGGGGAGTGAGGGACAGGGAGCTGTGGGGGATGGCTCCAGGTTTCTGGAGGGGGTGACTGAGTAGAGCCACAAATGGAAATTGAGTACACAGAGGAGCACACAGATATGTGCCTAGTCATGGCCAGCTGGAATTTGAGGTGCTCTTGTGAGTGTGGGCATGGAGGGTCTGAACTGCAGCTCGGGAACTGGGGATCATGAGGATCTGGGCAGGTGGACCAAGGCTGTGGAAGGGATTTGGGGTGATTGCCAGAGCCTGAGGTTCAGCATCTGCTTTCTTGCAAGGGAGAGGTGAGGAGGAGAAGGGTGGGTAAAGCAGCACTGGGGAGGAGGAGAGGAGAGGTGATGATCCGGGACACCAGGACAGGTGAAGTGTGTCCCCATGTGCTTTGGATACCTGAGAAAGGGTCATATCAATCTGGTTATTGAGCAAAAGTACATTCATGCAGACATCCTCGTGCATAAAAGTCCTTTCAAAAGTGGGAGTGCTTAGGAGAATGTGTTTTCATACACAACTATGCAAACATCAAACTGACATTGGGTATACCTCGGCTCTGTCACCGGGCTGCAGATGGGATCAGACTCTTCCTCTTCCCCTGTCTGGCATCTGGCCAGCTGGCTAGCTTTGGGCAAGTCACTTAGACTCTGAGCCTGCTCCTTTTTTTCTTTTTTAAGATTGTATTTATTCATGAGAGACACAGAGAAACAGGCAAGGGGAGAAGCAAGCTCCTCCCAGGGAGCCCGATGTGGGACTTGATCCCGGATCTCAGGATCACGCCCTGAGCCTAAGGCAGATGCTCAACCACTGAGCCACCCAGGCGTCCCATGAGCCTGCTCCTTTTGATGTGAAATGGGCAACATAATAGGATCCATTTCAGAGTTGATTAAGTGAAGCGATCTGTTCACACTTAGCACAGTGACTTCACACAATAAAAATTCAACAATTGACGTTATGGCTAAACAACCGGTCAATATGGAGGGGCACCTCTTTTGTGCTCAGTGTTTTAGCTTATATTTAAACCCTAGGGGCAAGGGTGAAGAGACAGTGATGCAGAGACAGATGACTAGCTGTGAAAGGCGGCTGAGCTTCAGGGATGCTGTAGTGGAGAGCCTTAGTTCTGGGCCAGGGTCAGAGGGGACTGACCCCCTTTCCTGAGGGCCTGGCACAGGATGGGGGTCTGCGGCTGCCTGACACCGCCTGATGCTGCCTCTCCTCGTCCTGGCAGCCCCCTCCGCGGTGCACTGCAAGCCAATGGTGGTAGACGGCCAGCTGTACGTGATTGTGGCCCAGCTGTTTGGTGGCTCTTACATTTACCACTGGGACCCCAACACCACGCGCTTCACCAAGCTGCAGGACATCGACCCACAGCGTGTGCGCAAGCCCAACGACCTAGAGGCTTTCCGCATCGACGGCGACTGGTACTTTGCCGTGGCCGACAGCTCCAAGGCAGGGGCCACCAGCCTCTACCGCTGGCACCAGAATGGCTTCTATTCCCACCAGGCCCTGCATGCCTGGCACCGAGACACCGACTTGGAGTTTGTGGATGGTGAGGGCAAGCCACGGTTGATTGTGTCCAGTAGCTCGCAGGCACCTGTGATCTATCAGTGGAGCCGCACCCAGAAGCAGTTTGTGGCTCAGGGTGAGGTGAGCCAGGTGCCCGATGCCCAGGCTGTGAAACACTTCCGTGCCGGGCGCGACAGCTACCTGTGCCTCAGCCGTTACATCGGCGACTCTAAGATCCTGCGCTGGGAGGGCACCCGCTTCTCCGAGGTGCAGGCCCTGCCCTCCCGGGGCTCCCTGGCCATGCAGCCCTTCCTCGTGGGTGGCCGCCGCTACCTGGCGCTGGGGAGTGATTTCTCCTTCACGCAGATCTACCAGTGGGATGAGGGGCGCCAAAAGTTCGTGCGGTTCCAGGAGCTGGCTGTGCAGGCCCCACGGGCATTCTGCTACATGCCTGCGGGGGACGCTCAGCTGCTCCTGGCCCCCAGCTTCAAGGGACAGACGCTCGTGTACCGGCACGTAGTGGTGGACCTCAGTGCCTAGAGCGGTGCCAAGTCCTCTGGGCGCTCGGGTGGCCCCTGGAGGCTAGCATAGAAGTCTCTGTGTGAGCAGCATGTGTGCCTGTGTGAAGACACATGTAACCAACCTGCATACGTGCCCTCACAGATGCCCCCCGTGTCCCCCGTGAGCATGGGCACACACTGTGGACTAGCCCAGGGGAGCCGCTTACCATAGTTGTGACAGCATGAAGACTTGTATATGCACCAGGCAAGCCGGCGGCCCTGTGCCCTCTCATGTGTGGGCACATGTCGGCCCCACACCCCTACCTAAAGGCCCCCTGCCCTGTGATCTGCCACTTTCCCGTGCTCTGGCCCCAGGGGAAGAGTGGGAGGGGCAGAGCCACCCCCTCCTCCTGTTTTTCGGCTTATCTTCTCAGCTCTCTGGCCTCTCCTTGTCGGTGCTCCAGGTGTGTGTTTATCTACTCACGCTCCGCATTGCAGCCCACGGCCACATCCTTCACCCTACTGGGTTCACTCACCATGCTGTCCTCCTTGTGCATGCACCCAGGGACGCTGATGGACACCCTCAGTTACACATGCACACGCACCTGTTGACATTCCCACTTCTGTGTGCATATGTCCAGATTCAGTGTGGCCTAAGGACGGTCTCCTTCATCACCTTGACTCTTTTCTTGGAGAAGGCACACAGCACCTGCCCTCCTCTGCTCATCCCTGGTGTGCCTACCCTGTAGCTGATAAGGATGAGAATGGTGGTGCCTGCCTCTGGGTACCAGCTTGGTCTCCCGGGGGCAAAGCCCCTCTGCCCAAAGCAATAACAAAGCAGACCCTGAGTTCTTCTGGGGGCTCTCTCTGTTCTCACTAGAGTTTCCTGCTCTGAGCCTGAATCCAGCTCACCTGTGGACAGGAGACCACCTGGAAAAAAGCCTTTCAGTTCTTCTTTACTCTAGCTGCCCCAGCTTCAGACCACCCATTGGTTCAGCCCCACCTCTGGGCTGTGGTGGTTCAAGAGCTGGCCACTCCGGGGGCTCTGCAAGTACCTGGGCCAACTGGGTGGGTGCCAAGAGTGGAATAGAGCTAGAGAGCATCTTAGGGATCCTAGGGCTTCTCCGATCCACAGAGGCAGGCCGCAGGCATTGCCTTTTATTGCAAGCTGAGCGATAGAGGGGGTGAGGGTCCGGTAGAAGCAGCACCTGGGAGCCAAGCTTCTGCTGCCCTCTGCTGTATGCTGGGAATAGACAGCTCTGAGCTGCAAGGCCAGTGGAGAAGGCATGGGGTGGGGAAACTTCTCTGTGTCCAGACTGTGTGAGGGCCTACTGGTGGCAGGATGCCCAGGAGCACTCAGGGGCAATGTGATGATTCACTGCTGCAAATAAAAATTTCCCACCCCATTACTGACTCTCAGGTGTCCAATGGCTACAGTGAGAGGCAGCTGTTTCACTAAGAACAGAGCCAGGGCTGTGCTCTCTCTGTCCCTACTGTTTTTAGGGGGCCAGCATCAGCGTTCAGACCCCCTTCTTCCTTGCTTTTTTCCAGAGGTGCAAGTGGGTACCCCACGATCAGCTGGTGCTGGGGTCAGGAGTTCATGGTGATGACACTCGGGTGCAGAGCAAGTGTGACTACTACCTGAGTCTACCACCTGGGGCTGATTCATGACCCAAATGTTCTTCCTGGAGCTCCCAGTCTTGGGGCCCCACCGAGACTACAGAAGAGATACAAAGCATGCAATCCTGTCCCTCTGCCAGGTCAACTCCAACCAACATGGCCAAAGACAAGCGCAGCAGTCCCTCTCCTCACCTCTCCCCTCCACTCCACTACTGCCAGCCCTTGCCCTAGGTGTGAGATTTCAAGCAAGTCCACTGAGTTCCGTGGCCCTTGGTTTCTCCTTCTGTGAAGTAGATAAAACCTACTCTGTCAACTCTTAATTCTGCTACTTAGCAGCAGGCGTGGCCTCAGCCATGTTATTTCACCCATTTGTATCTCCGTTTCCTCATCTATAACATGTGGATAATCAAGACACCTAGCTGACACGGTTAGTGTGAGATTTACATGCATGAAATGTATAATATATTCGTATATGGATAGCCCATGGAATAGTGTGTCTGACACAGACTTGTGACTTGTATTGGTCCTTGGGTCTCCATGAGATGCAGAGGTGGCTCAGAGAAGGGTACTTAGTGGGAAAGGAGGCTGATCTTTGGAGAGAACTGCTATCTGTGGACCTGGGTTTCTTATCCATCAGTCTCAGAGCCCCTGAGCCCTATGTCTCACCTGTAGCCTCAGGTGCCCAGACAAACCTGCCCCTGGCCAAACCTCACAATGGTGAATCTCACAGGTGCCATGTCTGGGGTTCCACCTCTTGAAACCATATCCATATGCTCTTGGCTTAGCAGGTGCCTCACAGGTCCCCCAGCCACACTATCCTGGGAATTCCTGCTCTGCTTTCTCAAACGGGGAATGGCCCTTCACGCTGTGCCAGGGAGAAGTTGCCAAGGGAAGTGGGTTGAGCCTCCCAGATACATTGGCACTCTGTTGCCCGGTAGAAAGATAAACATCATTCTGACTGTCACTCCCCCTAGGACTCCTTCCAGGGGTGGGAGACACTCCTCCTCTTGAATGCCACAGGGAATGAGGCCTGCTGTATGCCTGCCTGGTCACCTGCCCTGGGGGTCATCTGTGTGTCCAGAGAGTTGCTTAGCAATCCAGTGTAGCTGGGTAACTATGTCAACATCTCATGACCAAAGGCCATGAGAGACAGAGTCCACTCACTCTGCAGAGCTGAGGATGACACCCCTCAGCTCCCAGCCGCACACCCCTCCACGCTGGGCCCTGCTCCCAGGAGCACACCTCTGATGTCCATTAGATTTCCTAGTGCCGTTATGAGGACCAGGAGTCTCTATGTGAGAGCCCTTCCCCTCCAGGGTGGTCTTTTGGGGAGAGAGGTCTTAAAGTGGGCACAAGAGAGCTCTTCACCAGCAAGTGAGGGTAGATGCTGAGGTCAGGTCAGGTGACTCTGGAAGGCAGCCAGGGAGGACGTGGTTCTTCAGCAGGGACCAAAGGGCCCGCGGTGCACATGCACACAGCCCAGGCACCCTTATCTCCCGAGGAACGGGTGCTCTTCCCTCTACCGCAGCCCCCTGCTCCTCCTGAGCTGGCCCCCTATGGAGTTACCACATCCTTTTTTCTAGGCGCAGATTTTCACAACGTCTGTGGCTAGAGATGGAGGGTGGGACTCTGGCTCTTGGAGTTTCTTGTTCTTCCAACATAGGGTAGGAGAGAGGCCCAGGGTGAGGGGGTGGTTAGATGGGAAAGAGGGAGGCCTCAGGGAAGTTTCTCCTGTGGGTCAGTTTCACTGCTAGCTCTCACACCCCACATCACCAATAAAATGGATGATAGTAATTAAGACTACATAATTACCTTGTGTTTATTTATTCCCAGGAAGCCTCCTTTCCCTGGCCCCCATCATTATTTATTCCATCCTCTCAATAGGTGATGGGAGTTAACTATGGCTCTAATAAAAAGTAATAACTGTTCAAGTTTCCCATCCCCATGGTTCTAGGTAACTCTGCTGCCAGCCCCGTGAAGCAGGGGGGAGGCTGCGCAGGGTGAAGGGCACAGTCCCCATTGTCAGCGGGAGGAATGGGGCACTGTGCAGAAGAGATACAAAGCATGCAATCCTACATACAAAGTTCTGGAAGCAACCAAGCCTGCCTTCTCCTTTGAGCCTCCCACTTTCTTCCCCATATACACCTGCCCCTGGAGGAGCTTCTCCGTTCCCTCTCACCTTCCAGAGCTGTGTTCAGAAGACTGATCATTCTGTCTTCATTCACCCATCATCCAGCAACAAATGCCACTAGATGATGTTACTTTTCATCAATGGTGGGAAAAAAAAGGGGGGGGGGAGGGGGCAATCTTTGTAAAGGTCAAGACCTTGCACACAAAAATTAGCTACTAAGTGGCAATTGTTGATATGATTCAGCTCTCGGGGACATTTGTGTTCTGTCTTCACAGAAATAGGTGGAATTTCAAAGGTCTGGTGAAGAAGGCGTGGGTGGGGGTGGGGTGGGGGTGGGGGCTGGGGGCTTTCTGTCCAGAATGTCTCGTGGTCAGTCCGCCCAGGTATGTGCCTCTGGAGAGGTATCCCTGAGAGAAGTCAACTCCTGAAGCCCACTCTTCGGGGTGAGTCTCAAAGGGATGATGAGCCACGCATGTGACGACAGCTCCCCTCTCCCACTTCCTCCCGCTTTCTTTCTGGGTCATCTCAGCGTCACGGAGGCGCTTATGCATCTCCTGCCCCGGAGCTGCGAGACCTGGATCGTCCGGCGCTCCGCCAAGCCTCCCTCCCCTTGTGCGTGAGCCTGGAAGCGGGATCCTGCGCCCGGCCCAGGACTTTTCCCCATTTTACAGAAGGGAAAGATGAGGCAAAAGGGGGCAGCCAGGGAAGAGCCGCGAAAATTGTGGAGTCCAAGTTTCCTCCTCTGCATCTTTTTTGTTGCGGTTTCCCACCCCTGGATCTTGCCAACGCCGGCGGGCTCCTGGGCGCGCGGGCCCCCACGCACGACGGGGAGGCGGGTCGCCCTTTAAGGGGCGGGCCCCCGGCTTCCTCGCCCTCGCCCCGCCCCCTCCGGGGCCGCTCTGCGCCTGCGCCGGGCGCCGGAGCCCAGGGGTTGGGCAGCGCGCAGTTCCGTGCAACTTTCAAGTGAGTTGCAGACTCCGCCCCGAGGCCGGTGCCGGTGGCCGGGAGCCGCGAGACCGCGGGGGCCGGGGCGAGCGGAGGCCGGACCCGCCCAGCGGCGCGGCGGGAGCCCGACACCTGGTTCCCGGAGCGGCATCCGCCCAGGAGCGCGGCGGCGAGGGAGGACGCGCCCGCCCCGGGCTCCCGAGTCGTGCCCCCGAGCCCGGCCTCCGAGCCTCGGCACCGGGCTCCCCACCCCTCCGGCTCCGCGCACCGCAGACTCAGGGGCGGGGCGGCCCGAGCGCCCCTCTGGTTCCCGCGCTCCCGCCGAGCCCCCGTCCCAGCCCCGCCTGAGCGTCCCTCTGCTCCTCTTCTTGGGGGATCCCCTCCCCCTTCGTCCCCGAGGCTGCAGGATGGTGTCCTGGATGATCTGTCGCCTGGTGGTGTGAGTATGGGTGCCTTCCTACACCTTCTATCCCCAGGAGCCACAGCGCTCCTGATCTGGAACACGGGGACATCTGATGGGAAAGGGGCTTCCTGTGGGGCTCCCTCAACACTCACCGGGAGGGTTAACGGACCTGCGGGCCTGCACGTGCCATGGGGTACCCTGGCTTGTCCTCCAGCCCTCAAGCCTCCTTGGTTCGTGGCCACCCCTCCCGCAGTCACACACACCGCAGGCAGACAGGTGTGTGGGGCAGAGGACTTCAGGCCGACCTGCAGTCCCTTAGCAAACACAAGGTGTTGTGGCACGTCGTGGGCGGACGTTCCAGGTGCCTGCTTCCCTTCTGAGCAGTCACCTGACTCACCATCCTGGCCTCAGCCCCCCACTCTGGCCTCTTCTCACCTTTTAGTACTCCATGTGGCTCCAGTATTCCTATCTGCAACCTGGCAGTGCCAGGTCTGGTGGCCGTGGACCTGATGGCATGTCCACGGGAGCGGACAGCCTGGTGCTCTCACCAACTCAGCAGCCTGCCTCCCACCCACCTGTGTGCGGCTGTGTGTGTTCCCGCTCGATCATGCACCCAAAGGCCACTGATGCAGGCCCGGGCAGGCTTGGGGTGTTTGTAAACAGCAGGGTGGGGAGGTGGCCTCCAGGGCACTGACTCAGGCACACATTGTGCAAGCCAAGCGGGAAGAACAGGTAGGCCCTTGCCACTTCACATCTGTGAGGGAGGTGGCCACCTGGTGGGGCGAGGAGGACAGGATGCTGCTCATATTCCCCCTCTGTTTTATGGGCTGCTCTTCTAGGCTGGTGTTTGGGATGCTATACCCAGCTTATGCTTCCTACAAGGCTGTGAAGACCAAGAACATTCGTGAATATGTGAGTGTGGCTGTGGGCGGGAGGGCTTCATTCAGGTCTGGGGGGACTTGGCAAAGTGGGGAGGGTCTGAACTGGCATCCCCTGCCTCCAGGGGCATAAGCAGGTGGCATATCCTAAGCAGAGTGGGTGTGGTTGGAAGGCAGGCGATTGGGGTGCCCATGCAGAATCATGTGGGTGAAGCTTCTTGGGGGTGGGTACAGAAATGAGTGGCAGTTTCTCAGAGGCAACTCTAGGGCCAACCAGTTGCCAGGAGAATGCAGCAGGACAGGCTCTCTGGAATCTCTGGGTCAGCCTAGGACAGGGGAGTTGGCTCTGCAGGCTCAGCTGCTGGCCTCTGACACCCCCACCCCCACCCCCAGGTCCGATGGATGATGTACTGGATAGTCTTTGCACTATTCATGGCGGTGGAGACCTTCACAGACATCTTTATTTCCTGGTATGCATGCAGGGGGCCTATGGGCTGTGGGGAGGTGCTGGACCACTCAGCCTGGCTCCCTGCTGACCTTGCCCACCCTGTCCTCTGACAGGTTCCCTTTCTACTATGAGATCAAGATGGCCTTTGTGCTGTGGCTGCTCTCACCTTACACCAAAGGGGCCAGCCTGCTTTACCGAAAGTTTGTCCACCCGTCCTTGTCCCGTCATGAGAAGGTACTTCGGGGGGAGTCAGGGAGTGAAACATAGGGGTGGGTGTGAATGAAAGGACCCTGGACTCGGGGTTCAGAATACTGGATGATATCTGGGTTCTAATCTGAGTCCTGTTGCCCTTAGCTGTGGGACCTTGATAGAAAGTAGCCTTTTTCCTCTTTTGCGATAATCAATTGGGAGCACATGTGAATGTGCAGAGCTGGCAGTTGTTTTGGGGACAGTGGGAGAAGGCTGAGCATGGTCATCCCCTGAGGTGGGGGAATGGGTGGGTGGGGAGCCCTGCCCTTGGTGTGGTTGCCAGCGCCCTGTAGGTGGGGGTGGACAGGGAGGCACAGGACGCAGTGGCTTCTCTGGGTCTGCGGAGGAAGGATGACTCCCACTGTGTACCTGAACTCTTCCCCCTTCCCCGCCCTCCACAGGAGATTGACACCTGCATCGTGCAGGCCAAGGAGCGCAGTTATGAGACGATGCTCAGCTTTGGGAAGCGGGGCCTCAACATTGCTGCTTCGGCCGCTGTACAGGCTGCCACCAAGGTGACCTGGGCCCCAGCCCTCCAGCAGCCCTCCCACCCCCTTCTGGGGGAGTCCAGCTCTCTGTCAGGGAGCTGGGAGAGAGCACCAGACCATGCCAGGGGACAGGGTAGGAGGTGATGGGTGGGGTGTTGGCCGGAGGATGGAGCTGGGCCAGTGACCGTGAGTGGTAAATCCTGCTCTCTGGGCCTTCATTTCCTGTTGGCAGCACAAAGACATGGAGCTAGAAGGTTACTAAGTTGCTTTCAGTTCTGAGGCCAGGGCCCCAGTGATGACCTGCCAGTCCGTGCTTAATTTCCCTGCACAGCTGCCCTGGTTCAGACCTGGGAATAGAGGATGCTGCTAGGATCCCCTGCTCCATCCCTCCAGGTGATGCAGCGGCTCCCCATCTCTTGCAGAGTCAGGGGGCACTGGCCGGAAGGCTACGAAGCTTCTCCATGCAGGACCTGCGCTCTATTCCTGATGCCCCTGCCCCTGCCTACCAGGATCCCCTCTACCTGGAGGACCAAGTACCTCTTTGCAGGCGACCCATCGGTGAGTAGGAGAGAGATCTGGAGCTGTTTGTTCCAAGAGGGATGCTCCTTCCATTTGAGCTGTGGCTTCCCCGGGGATTAGAAGAAGGCGTGGCTGGGCCCCAGGCCTTCAGACTGTGGAAATGCCCAGCTTCGGCTCCCTGGCCTCTCTCTCCTCTATTCAGGGTACCGGGCAGGGGGGCTGCAGGACAGCGACACCGATGATGAATGCTGGTCGGATACAGAGGCAGTCCCCCAGCCACCTGCCCGGCCCCGAGAGAAGCCTCTCAACCGCAGCCAGAGCCTGCGTGTGGTCAAGAGGAAGCCGCCCGTGCGGGAGGTCAGTGGCCAGGAAGGCGTGAGGGAGGCGGGCTGTCCAGGGACTTTGGCCTACACCTCCCGTTTTGTCTGCTCTCTCCCCTCAGGGTACCTCGCGCTCCCTGAAGGTTCGGACAAGGAAAAAGACCATTTCTTCAGACATGAATGGCTAGGATCTGCAGAGCCTGGCCGAGTCTTACCTCTTGCCTTATGGGGTACCAGGGACTGCTTGGAGGGGGCGACTGGGTACACATCTGACCTGCCTACACCAGCTGCTCAGGCTGTGTCCTCCTGGCTCCTGCTCTCGATTAGGGGCTGGGGCGGTGCACAGGGATATACCTGTGATGTACCAAAGCAGGCTGGGCCCATGATTCTATTTATTGCCTTTCTCATCCTTATACCCTCTTGGGTGTGTGGGACCAGAGCCCTTCCCAGACCTCTGCAAATGAAGCCAAAAGTCCACCCATCTGTGTTCATTCCTTCCTGTCCTTCAAAGTACTTGACAGCCTCCTCTAAGGCCCCGTATGTGTATGTGTGTGTGTGTGCGCACGTGCGCGTGTTCCCTGGTTGTGTTTTGTGTTGGTGAATGAGGTCAGGTTTATGCACATTTTGGTAAATAAACATATAAAAGTGTTCTGTTTGTCCTGGTTTTATATTCCTGGTCCTCACAGTACACAATGCTAAACAGCTTGCTACAGGCCAGTCCAGGCCTAGGATGGGGGCTAAAAGGACAGACCTTTTGGGACCAGTCTCCTGGTGGGGGCACGTAGCCATTGACATATAGTTGTGATGTGGCAAGTACTGTCACAGAAAGCTCTTGGAGACTTCTGAGAACACAGGTGGGAGACTAGGGGTGGTGGTGGGGAGGACACCCCGGAGAGGGGTCAGAGTCTGAGACTATAAGCAGAGGAGATGGCATTGGACCTTGATGGGAAGCAGAAGGTAGTGGGAGCAGAGGTGTGGAGGGAACTCTGGGCAGCACAGTAGTTTCATGGGGATTAACTGGAGCTGTAAACAGTTAGGCCTGGGGAGACCAACTGCCTCTGTGGGCCCTCAGGGGTCTCTAGGAGGCAGCTCTAGGGGTATTGAGTTCCTGTAAACATCCCAGATGGCCTTGGGGGCATTGCATGTCTTCGGAATGGCCGCGAGAGGGCAGCAGCTGCCAGGGTCTGGGCTGCCTCTAGCTTCCAGGTCAAGGAGGGCGGGGTTGGGAGTCTGGCCAGAGCCCTGCCCTAGAGGGGCCTGGCCTCTGGCTGGCTGGCTGGCTGGCTGGGAAACGATGCAGAATTCTGGTCTGGCCTCCAATGGCCCTCTCTGCTGCTCCTTCCTGTTGTTTGTGGTCATTGGTCCCCTCTGCCCCATGCATGGAGTCTCCCCTGTTCTGGGATCCAGGCTTTTTGCCCCAGCTGACTCTACTCCATCCCCTATGCTAATCCCTGGGGCAGCCTCAAGGGCTTTGCCCTCCCCTGCCCCTGGGTTCTGGTCTCACCACACTATCCCAAGGCTGCTCCCCTCGGCCACCCCATGCCTGCTCTTCCTTCCCACTTTTGATTAAGCAAAGAGGTGGATGGGAAGAGGGGAAATAGGGTGGTCACCCTGAGTGACCTGAAGAGTATGGATTAACTCTTGGTGTGGGGATTATCTGGGTTTTATTTGGGGAAGGCACTTAATCGGCCGGAGTGGTTTAGCCCCTCACATATTGGTGTTCAGTGATTTCTTATCTCGGTGTTCCCTTGCATCGTGGTGTTGTCTCATCTCTTCCTTTGTTCATTCAGAAAACCCCTATGGAGTATTTCCCGGGTACCGGGCATGCTTCAAGATACTCAGGATGTGGAGTCTAGGAATAGCTGGTATCTCAAACGTGACTACCCAGCAGCTCTTGCTTGGAGCCCCCAACATACATTCACTTAATCTTCACAGCAACCTCCAGAGGCAGGTACTATTATTATAACACCCATTTTACAAATGGGAGAACAGGCACAGAGAGGGCAGGTGATCTGCCCGAGGTTACATAGCTAATAAATGGTGGAACTCATCTTCGAACCAGGCAGTGTGGCTTCATCACTGTGTGTGTCTAAGTAGATGAGAGGAGGCCAGAAGAAGGAGACAGAGCTGTATTGAACACCGGTTGTGCACCCGGCCTTGTGCTGGGCATCTCATAGAGATGGTCTCCTCGAATCTTCCTGACAAGGCTGCAAGTAGGGCTTAGGCCCATTTCACAGATGGAAAAACGGACACTTGGAGAGATGAAGTAGCTTGTCCCTGGTGAGGCTGCCTGTGCGTGGGGGCCCTGTCTCATGAGGCAAGCTCGCCCAGAAGTTGCTGTGATAGACATGGAATGGCAGGATCCACACCCCGGAACCCTGGGGGTGCACAAGAGAGGAGTATGCAATGAAGGAGTGAATGAAACATAAGCCCAGAGGAAAGGGCACTGGGGGGAGGCCTAAAGCTATGGGGTGTTGACGTTGCTGAAGCTTTGCTTGCTCTCATTCTGAAGATGGGCTTTAGAGTGGGCAGCAGGGTCCCCCGGGCCCCTGGGTACAAATGGTGACAGTTTTCTTAGGCCCAAGATCTTCACCTTCCCCTCCCCCAGCCTCCTGGCTAGCCTGGCTGCCCTACAGCTCCAAGGCAGTGCCTTTTCTGACTCCTGGGCGCTCACGTACCCCCCCCCCCCGCCTTTGCTCCAGCTGTATGAATCTCCTGCCCTCTCAACAACCTTTCTTTCCCAGCCCCCATAGCCTTCCTTAGAGACCTGCCTTCTCCAAGAAGCCTTCCCTGACTGGCTAACCCCTTCTCAAGCTCCCAAGGGTCCTGATCTCTGGCCTGCTCCCAGTCCTGGGGACACCGTGGGCTGTGCCGGTATGCCCATCACCCTTCCCTCCCCACGCAGCTGGCCTCCCCTAAACCTGACTTG